GGCGGAGCCGGCGGAGCCGCAGGAGCCGGCGGAGCCGGCGGAACGGACCGGACGGGACTAAAACCATGTGTACCGCCAGCGCTAACGCTGGTGGTACAATAATTTAAAAAATTCATAAATGTAAAAAAATAATTACAAAAGTGTCATTGACACTATTTAAACAGCCTTAATGTCACATCTAATACCTTACTTTTAGTTTCAAGTATCACGCTTGATTTCTCTTGTGTATCATCACTTTTTTCTTTTATTTCTTTAGTATTCTAAAATAACACTGGAATACAGAGTATTTTATGCAAGCTAACCTTCATCTTTTTCTTTTGAATCCAGTCCTAGTTAGCAGAGTTAACAATAATAATTAAAACAATAATTCATCATAATTATAATTACTAAAATCTCAAGCAGCTCTACACAAAACTTTGGAAAATAATTACATATTATGAGTATGGCAAAATCTTTATTATAATGTCAAATATGATGTATATAGTCAAATATGTGAAATTGTGATTTCTCAATAAACATTAAAGAAATAATAATAATAATAATAATAATAATAAATTAATGATGTAAGTTTACTGAGAAATCATAACTAAAATCTAAAAATCTTCTCCTCATTATTATTAAAATTATTATTTCTTTTTTTTATTATTCACAATAAAATAAAAGGTTTATGATCCCATCTAACCTTTATCTTTCCCCTTGGAGTCAAGTGCCAGCTCTACCACCTCTATGGGGTAACTACCAGTGTTTGTCAGCATCACTTGACACTCAAAACTGAAACAAAAGTGGTCACCGTGAATAAATAATAAATAAATAAATAAATAAATAAATAAATAAATAAATAAATTAATGAATAAAGAAAGAAAGAAAGAAAGGACGAAAGAAAGAAAAAAAGAAGTATGTATGTATGTATATAACATTTGCATGTTTGTTCGTATGTATATCTCTATCTACTTTAATCCATTACTGGACCTACAATTAAGTCTTATTCATAAGGTTATGTCTCTCTCATGGAGATTTCAGCCAGTCTAATGCAAATTTATATAATTGGAAACATCCTCAGTCTTTTCATACAACTTGTTACGAAAGTCAATACACAGTTAAAAAAAAAAAAAAACTTTATAAATAAAATGTGCGCAAACAAGCAATGTTGCGATTTCTTACATGCAAGCACCTTTCACCTGCAAACAGTTGATAAATATATTTGTTGTAGGTACACAGACACCTGGTATGATTCTGTGTGAACTGTTAGGCACTTGAGTAGTATCATCAAATAGAAGGTGATGAGGAAAAGCAGGTTTTAGGTAGGGTTAGGTCAATCGATGGCTTTTTCGTGTCCAGTGTGAGACACAAGTAGGGAATGATTTCCCTGAGGAGTCCGAACTGCTCGAAGATAACAGCAGAACCCTCAATGTGGGTGAAGCCTTTGATTTACTAAAGACGATAGTTCAGAACCAGTTTGAATCATTTTCTGAGCAACAATCTCATTCTGTCAAATCAATCAAGAAGAAGATTCACCTTTCCCATGATACAAAATTGAAAGGGGAAGGAAACAAAGTTGCATATAACTTCAATTTAGACATACTGGACGGGTTAGAAATGCTAGAGTCAAGAGCACATGAAAACAAAGATTCTAAATCTATACAGATCATTACAGGCCTAGAAGAGAAAGTGTGCCAACGTAATAAATACATCCGCATTGCTGACCCCTCTGCCGCCAAATGACAAGCCAGTAATGATTACCAGATTTTTTACTACGCTGGCGATGAGTGAAGGATCTGAGCAGCCGAAAACTGAGCGCTTCACCAATTACAAAAAAGCAACTACGCAAATGAAATGGGAAAGAAACATTTACAATTCTGAAAAGACATATTAAACACTTTTTCCACCATTGTAAACATCATAGAGAATGATTATGACATTCCTTTCATTTCTGATCCTCCATCTATGTTTATGAAAAACAACAGATCTGCTACAAAAAATGCAAATTTTGTTACAAACACTATCAAAGATTTGTTAAATACAGGTTGCGTAGTTCAAGTACCTTTCAGACCTTTCACTGTTAGTCCTTGAAGTATAGCAGAAAACAGAGAGAAGAAGAGATTGGACCTGACCTGAGTCAATTGAACAATCATTTTAAGAAAGATAAGGTAAAATTTGAAGACTGGAAATCAGGTATTGAAAGTCTGTTTGTGTGTTTTGGATTATGCAGGGTTCTTTCACTTCTCTGAACTGTCACACATTAAGAGCAAGGACATTACATTTTTCAACAATCATATAAATATCCATATAGAGAGAAGTAAAACTGACGTCTACAAGACCGGAGCTAACATATGCATAGCAAAAAACTTATTTTAAGACATGTAGCCCTATGTAGCCCTTCTATCTGGGTATTTGACTTATGCTGAGATTAAAGAGAAATATGGACATATTTATTTTTCAGTCTGTGTATTTTTGCAAGAAAGTAAAAGCATTTAAGTGTAGAAGCAGAAACAATCCTATTTCTACAGAAGAGCAAGAGAAATAATATTATCAGCTTTTCAGAGTATCGGTCTGGACAAAACCCAATTCGGTTTACACAGTACAAGAACAGGTGGGGCTACCACGGCAGCAAGTTGAGGTGTACAAGACTGTTTATTTAAGAAACATGGATGATGGAAATCATAAAATGATAAAGACGATTATATAACAGAGAACCTTGAGGAAAAAATGGTAGTTTCACAATTAGTTGGGTTGTAGTTAATTTTTTTCCAAAACCTATCGTTTTGATTGAATATGTATGTGATTCTGCCATCGTACTTTTCTCCTGTGAACAAAGTCAGTAATGTGATTTTGCACATGCACACGCATGCACGCACATTCACCCACCTTTCACCTGCGAAAACAGTCAATATTGCACTCTCTTTCTTCAGAATCTCATCCAGATTGCTGTAGCTCCGCGACCTTGGCACCGAGGTCGTGACCTGTAATTGGGGCAATGGCGGAATAACCTCCACGGTGTACTGGGCCTCGCGTATCCTCGGTATGTCGCGTAGTTTACAGTTGTTTCTCACTCCCAGTACAGTGGTTGTATAGCCTGGGTGAATATAAAATATTTATTTAAAAGAACAAACTAAAATAGAAAATATTTAATGATTGTGTTGCCTTGGAAAATATGTTATAAAATAAAATGATAAGGCATGAGTTATACTATGTTAATAATTCCACAGAATAGATTATAAGAAGTTTTCAATTCAGTTTCTAAAAGATATATACACTATTTATTAGCATTAATATTACCTATAATAACTTCTGCAGATAAGAAATTTTCAATGAAGTTTTTAAAAGAATTAAATACTTTCAAATATGAAAATCAATTTAATCTATTTACCTTTTTACAGGGGCCGTTTACCACTTACCAATGATATTTAACTGTCCAGCACCCTTGGGTGTCCCCAGTACCTTGACCACATAGGGGCCAGAATTGGCCTGGAGGGACATGCTGGACGGGTGGGAGACAAAGTCCACTCCATCCGTCAGCAGGGCCTGAATGTAATAGTTCCAAAAATAAGTATCATGTAAAAAATTACTAAATAAATAAAAACTTGTTTTTGAAAAAAAAACACCAGTTAATGGTACTCTTTTAATTTCATTTAAGTATAATAACCAGAGAGAGAGAGAGAGAGAGAGAGAGAGAGAGAGAGAGAGAGAGAGAGAGAGAGAGAGAGAGAGA